TGCGGGGCCCCTTTCCGCCACGTCTCCCACTTCCTCCGGCACCTCCGTATCCACCATGGTGAGAGGCCACATGATTCTGGCCACTGCAGTGAGAGTTTCAGCCACAGCTCTGACCTCAGCCAGCACCTCTGTGACCACCACTCCAAGGGTGATGAGCTGTGCAGTGGTGAGGAGAACCCACCAGACCCCCTGGTCATCCCCAATGCCTGTGATGAGGGCCAGGGGAAATTCAGCCAGCACTTGAACCTAATGAGACACACGCAGACCGGTAGCAGCAAGAGCCTCTACATCTGCAGCAACTGTGGCAAGAGCTTCTCCCACAAGTTCCACCTCACCCAGCACCACTGCACCCACATTAGGCAAAAGCCGTATGTCCGTGGTGACTGCAGTGAGAGCTTCTCCAACAAGTCCAGCCTCACCCATCGCAGACGGACCCACACTGGGGAGAAGCCGTATACCTGTGACACCTGCAGCAAGAGCTTCTCCAGCATGTCCATCCTTAGCCGCCATCACCGCACCCATACTGGGGAGAGACCCTATGTCTGTGACAAGTGCAGCAAGAGCTTCTCCGACCAGTCCATCCTCAGACAGCACCATCGCATCCACACTGGTGAGAGACCCTATATCTGTGACAAGTGCAGCAAGAGCTTCAGTCAGAGCTCGGCACTTACCAGGCACCGCCGCACCCACACTGGGGAGAAGCCCTTTGCCTGTGACAAGTGCAGCAAGAGCTTCTCCGACCAGTCCATGCTCAGACAGCACCATCGCATCCACACTGGTGAGAGACCCTATATCTGTGACAAGTGCAGCAAGAGCTTCAGTCAGATCTCCACACTGAATGTGCATCGCCGCACCCACACCAGGGAGAGATCCTATGTCTGTGACAAGTGCAGCAGAACCTTCAACCACAAGTCCACCCTCACCCAGCACCGCCGCACCCACACCGGGGAGAGACCCTATGTCTGTGACAAGTGCAGCAGGACCTTCAACTACAAGTCCACCCTCACCAGGCACCGCCACACCCACACCGGGGAGAGACCCTATGTCTGTGACAAGTGCAGCAGGACCTTCAGCCTCAAGTCCACCCTCACCAGGCACTGCCGCACCCACACTGGGGAGAAGCCGTATGTTTGTGGTGACTGCGGTGAGAGATTCACCCAAACGGCACATCTTGCCCGGCACATGAAGGCCCACACTGGTGAGAAGCCCTTTGCCTGAGACATATACAGAAAGAGCTTCAGCCGCAGCTCCCACCACACCCAGCACATGTACACCCACACCAGGGACCACCCTGTGCCAGGGGACACAAATACACCGACCTCTGCGCTCTCAGGTGTCTGCGACCCCCCTGAGAGTCTGACTGAACAGAAATTGGCTCTTTTCCACCCAGATTCCTCAGAGGCTGGAGGCTCCAGCAGCAGGAAATGCCTTCCTCCCCCACCCCAAACACCTCTTAGTGAGAATGAGAATCATTCTGGTGAGGAGGTGGCACAGCCAATGACACCAGCAAAGCTGGGCTGAGCTTTGCCAGGATAGAACTCATTTTTCCCCAACCATTTAGCTTTCCCCTGGGTAAAAATCTCCTGTCCTCTGCCGAATTGTAATGAGAAAATGATAAAACTAATAAAATACTGTCTTTTTATTATTGTATTGCCATTTCTTCCTCGGCTGATCCAATATCTGGGGCATTTCTTCCATGGGCTTATGTGCATCATTGCTCTGAATGATTTGAACTTTTCAGCTCAAGCTGTTCTAATAAACTGCCTTGTCTGAAGTCAGCAACATTTTCGCAAACTAACTGGTTTAGCACGGTGAGACTTCATGTTTAGAGTTCCTGCCAGGGCTTGGGATGCAGACCAAGGCCACTGCTAAGCTTGTATCCCACACCGAGGGGGACAGAGAGTGCCCCACACCTGTGGGGAGGAGCAGGCAGGAGAACTGCCCCAAAGATTCACCAGTGGGGTATTCCATCCCATAGCTGGCTTAGCCAGTAAATGCTGGAGGACCAGGTGGAGCAAACGAGGTGGACAGGACTAAGGGTGGGAGTGGGAGCGGCTAAGGGTTGGGGTGCTAGGGGGTTCCCATGTGCTCGGCCATGCCCCCCCGAGCCCCTGGCCACGCCCCCTCCAGGTACATGTGACCCTTCGATGCTTTCTGGGGGTCACGGGGTATTTTTGGGGGGCAGAGAGGATATTTTGGGGGAGTTTGGAAGGTCATAAGTTTTTTTTGGGGAGCACAGGTGGTGCTTTGGGGGAAAATTTTGTTCTCCCAAAAGGTATTTATTTTGATGTTTATCATGGGGTATTGGGGTGCACACAGGGT